CCCTGGTAAGCTCTCTGACTTGCATGACTTGGACCCCTGCAGAGCACCATGCTTCTGCAGCTTCTGACAAGAGCTGCCCTTTTCTCTGGCACACTGCTGCCTGCACCTTCGCGGGTAGGACGTGCTATTCCGAGCGTTGGTCTTCCTGCTGCTTTTGAATGGCATTGCAGTTGAATGAATCTCAGTGTCTCTCTTGGACTGGGAGAGGTAAAGGGAGAACAGGAGGTAGAAGAGAGATACTTTTAACTGACCAGAAACCAAAGGAAAACTTTTCTGCCTAATGGTTGTCCTGGTTAGCTCCAGAATTGCTGAGCAAACCTGCAGTCCCTACCCAAGCAACTCTGCCAGAGAAGGCAGTGGGTGCTCTTCTGGAGTAATGAGTGCTGGATTTGGCCCAGCTGCAGCCTTCATGGAGGGTATTTCCTAGGAATTACTGAATGGCTGAGAGACTGCAGATGGACTCCAGGCCATCCACCCCATTTGACCACTCATTCTTTCTTCCCCAGGAGACACTCCCAGGTCAACTTTAGGCTGAGCTGAAAACGAAGGCGCATTTGTCAGGCATTAGGATAGTTCAGTTGCTGATCAGCTGAGTTAGCTTCTGAGAGAAAAGAAACAGAGCCACTCTTCTGGCATAGCGTGCTTTAAGGCAGATAGCTCCTCTTGTTGCAACCATTTAACCTATTAGACAAAACAGAGAAAATTCAACTTTGTGCCTCGGACAAATGGTCCTAAGTGGGGAAAAAAACCTCTTTACACTAAGGCTTCTAATGCCAGTGTCCCCAGCTGGCTTGCCTGATCTGAACAGTGCTGTACAGAGGTAAAGACCCCTGGTATACCTAACCTGGCATGCTGCTTACAAGACACACAGTTCCTGCCCAATCCCTGCTGCGTCTGAGGGTCTCTTAGACCTTAATGTACCTATCCCCAAGGCATCTCAGGGTGAAAAGCCACCGTGACAAACAATGTCCCAATGGGGAACTGAGGCACAGATGGGCTAAGTGACCTGCTAGTGGCCAAAAAGGATCAGTAGCAGAGCAGGCAGCGAATCCAAGTATTCCATGTTCTTCTAAATAGCAGATCACCCTCCTGTTGCACAGACCCAAGCTGTGAGAAAGCTTAGAGCTGAGTCTGACTCTACCACTGCCCATATGTGAGTGAGCATGTATCTCCAGCATGCAGTGGCACAGCTGTCACTGAGGGCCTGGTTGCAAGTGTGCAACCGTGGGAAGAACAGCCCTCTCAGTGGGCAATGGATAGATTGAAACCAAAAGCCATTTTCTTTCATGCTACAAAGTGCTCTGTCCAAATTAGCTGACATCAGTGATCTCCTCCTGGAAAATAGGGAAAACAACCTGAACTTCATGGTGGGAGAAGCAAAGTAGTTTCTGCACACAATAAAAGGCAACTTGCCAGTATGCTGGACAAGAACAATAACCCCATATAGACATGTTCTTGTGAACTGCATTGTTTTAGGGAAACCATATCCTGGGCAGGCTCCCAATTCAACTTGGTGTGACATTTGCAACAATTATGCTCTACGCTATGCAATAGAGCTAGTGGAGCTGAATTATTTTGACCCAAACAACATGCATGGAGTCTGTGCAGGTACAGCATAGCCATATGGAGCCACTGAGCATAGAGAAGTCATATCCACATGTGCCAATATCCATATAATGCCCGCATCCATGAGTAATAAAGGCTTATCTCTACACTATTCTGCAGAGGATACATACTAGTAGCAGCCCAGAGTCTCAGGACTCAGAGCCTTAGGTTTGCTGGCCTCTCTGTTCAGTCTCAGTACTGCCAGATTTCCACTGCTCCCTCTACGGTATCACGAAATCACTGTAATTCGTTGATATCTAGCTACCAATAGATGCAGGATTTTTACTGCTGTGATTTGGAATAGTCTGTAGGGACAATGTGTCTAGCGAGATAGAATGACTTGGTCTCCTATGATCTGATCCCAGCCCTGCGACCTTAGGCTGGGTCACTTTGCCACTCTGCACTTCAGTTTTCCCAGGCCAAAAAAAAAAAAAAAAAAGGAGAAGGTTCACCCAACACCTGTGAACAAGGCATTAAGCGCGAAGTAAATGAGGAGCTGATGTATAACTCACGAAAGGAGACAAAGAGGACTAAAGTTTGAGACCTGTTCTCAAATGGATAATGCTGTTTTCCCCCTCTTTCATGTTGCAACTTGTCCTCTGGAGGAGCTACTTGCCATCTGGTGGAGAGCGGAGTGGGCCTTCCTGAGCAGGCCTCTGCCCAGTGGAGGGCTCCTCAGAATGTGCAGGTAAGGTAAGGTATGTCTAGCTTTCCCCAGTCTGCTCCATCCCCCAGCTGAAAGCCATTCCTAGCCTCATCCCCAAGGCCAGTAGGGCACTGGGCTGATTCAGCTCAATGTCTTTGCCATACTTGTTTTCAATACCAGTCTCCAATCTCAGGGAGAGCAAGTATCTCTAGAGACCTCAGTTACCCCGGGCTCTCTGAGATGCCTCTTGCTGTAATCCCAACTGGGAGCAGAGATAGACCAAACTTGGAGGAAGAGGCAGCTCTGGGAGTCCAGGAGCCAAAGTTTACAATAAATCTTCATCCTTGCTGTAAACAGTCTCTGAGAGGGTGTCACAGGAGCACAGCAGAGAGTGAGGAAACCAGAAACACTTGCCTATGATAACATCTGCCAGCCTTGTTGGCTCAAGGGCTTGGTTTTGCAAAGAACATCATTAGCAGCGAGTTCTGCTGAGAATCCTGTTCTAATGGGCTTGCCTCCCGCTCCTTCTGTTTGAATTCAGTGCTGCTGAAAGCCGCCGGCTTGGCAGCCCTGCAGCCTGACATTGCCTCTTATCTATCAAACAGAGATGGCTCAGATGGTAGCACCCCTTCTCTGGCCTCCACATACAAACGGCACCTTGGTATTTGGGAGAACAATTTACATCCTTGAAGGTTTCCTGTTTAATTCTCAGCCTAAGAAACTGGACCAAATGAATCCTGTCTTGCATCTTTGTGGAATTCAGTGAGATTAGATTAGGGATGAATTCTTCCCATATTTCTTAAAGAGCTGATATCTCTGCCCTGGCTTTCAAATTGACTTCCCCATCTTGGCTCATAAATCATAAGGGTGTTTGTTTCTCTGTCATTTTCAATACTGTTAACTCTGCAGGAGGAATCTATACGTTACAGTAAGCTACCAGCTCTTGCTCCCTCTCTCTCGCGTGCTCGCTCTCTTTTCGCACACACACACAGGCACAAACACAGCCCACAACACCCCCGTCAGCGCTGCCTGCTTTCTGGTCTCTGTTCTGTGGGACAATCTGTCAAGTCAGTGACCCATCAGGACTGCCAAACCACCCTCACGTTGAAGTTTGTGCTAGGACTGTCCAGCAGAAAGCTGGACACGCTCCACTTGGCAAAGGCAAAGCTCCCCACAGACCGTGTGTGGGTCGTGTGGCAGGCATGCACGCATGAGAGCCCCCGAGAGGCAGCTGATTGCACGCATCCCCAGGAAAGGGGCTGAGGCTGAGCACACTGAGCTGTGTGGCTCAGCGAGCAGGTGGTGAAGGGGGTGGAAGACACCAGAGACTGGCGACTTCTGTGGGGGCTCTGGGTGGGTAAGTGATTACAAAGTGGCACGTCCATGTTGCAAAGTCTAGGGAAGTTAGTCAACAGGCTTTGGGCCTCTTTAAACATCCCAGTCTGCAATTCCATGGCCATTTCCCCTAGAGCACTTTCTCTTCCTCCCTTGGGCCTGAGGCTGCATCAAGAAAATGGTAGTTTCTAGTTTAGCAGAGATTTCATGCCAGCTAATCAGCAGCTAGATTAATCCAGCCTCATACATGTAGTGATTCCTTATGGGCAATAAACAGCTTAGCTAAACACAGCCATGGCAACAACCTGAGGCCTGTGGCTTAATGAAGCACAGCTATATACTCCCTATTAAATGCCTCCCTCCAATTTCCACTGGATAGTGCATCCTTCAATCAGTCTGCTAGGCTGCTGTGAAGACTGCTGCGCTTTCAGAAGCTTTAGTTCACACCACAGATAGATAGTCTTATTTCAAGAATAAGAAAAAATAAATCTCTTCAATTTGTCTTAATTTAAGTTTGCAAAATGTCTTGTGATTTTATATATATATATATTTTATATATTTCTAGACATAAACATTTATTCCTCTCTCTTACAGTCTCAAATTGAGTATCACAAAACAGTTGTACTGAAACATCCATCTCTTCTTCCTAAATTCTACAGCAGTGACAGACTCCCCAGCCTCCCAGTCATCAATAACCAGGTTCTGAAATACTTACAAGCTGAAGGGTTATTAGTTAAATAATTCCCTTAGAGAGCACTTTGCATTTCTCAAGCTCTGTTTCTTTTCCGTCTGCTATACTGTATGTCCCAAAGTTTCAGAGAACTGAGGCATTGCAGGGAGGGAAGTTCAACAGCTGGCTTGAAGAAGCAGGCTTTTTCTGTACTGATAAATTTCATTAAGTTAGAGTAAGGAATAATTCCTTCTATGGACTGTGGAGGGAATTTTTAACCTCAGACCAAGGCTGTTAGTACTGCTAGAATGCAAATGATTGATTGATTTTTTCTTTTATTTGGGGGTGGGGGAAATCCAACAAAGCCGTCTTTGACCAATGGAAAAGTCCCCAGGATGAACTAGCCATTTAAGTGAAAAATCTGCCCCATACAGGATTTCAAGCTGTTAAAACTTAGTAGCAGAAAATCATAGCATCAAAGTCAAGAAGACACAGAAAAAAATAGCTCTGAAAACAGACAGTTCTACCATAATAATAAAATCTCTCTGAATCCAAGTTAAGGCGTTAAGAATCATAAAAAACAGGCTCACCATGAACTTTTTCAGCACATACTATGGCCAACTGAATGACAGGATAATCTGCTCTCTTAAGAGATTTGAAAAGGCGAAGTCACTTATAAATTGTTTTGCACACTGACATAAAATGCAACAAGCAGATTTTAAAGCCAGTCATGCACTCACTCACAGCGGATCAAACCTGATTTAACTCCCCCGGTCTGTGCTGGAGCTGCTCTGTGTTGATCCCACTGAAAATGATAGCATAGTGTGGTCTCAGTGGGAGAGAAACAATACAGAATATTCCAGCCTATTCTGCCAACTACACTAACAATTAAAACATTTCTTTGCTACTCACCAGCCAAGAAGTCTGTTGGATCTCACCAGTGGTGCACTGCTGTCACTTCAGCAGCAAACCGACCCTGCTGCGAGCTCACCAGCTTCCAGTGCATTGCCTGCAGCAAAACAAAAGCACCTGAAATTTGCAGGCAGCAGGGTGGAGCCAGGAGGAGTTATGTCATCTGGAGGCAGCCTTCATTCATAAAACCAGTTCAAGCTGTCGGCAAACCATCTGTTCCAGTTCTTTATGTCATGCTTAGTTGGCCCTCACCTATCTGTGGGCAGCAAATGCCATCTAGTGGTAGATGTACTAATTTATCCGTGTAAGTGTTGGCTGTAGATCTTGTGAGTGCAAACTGGCTGTCAATCATTATACACAGCTGTAAGTCATGCATTAAGTCATAGAAAAGCATGTTACTTTTCTCCAGAATATTTCATTCTTGGAGAACACCTAATGGGGGTGAATTATTAAAACAACCCATCAGATAAGCACTGTATGTATCTCTTTTTTGTTATAAATGCGGAAATTGAAATGCAGATGCTGTGGACCAGATTTTTAAAGTATTCAGGCACTGCCCCTGTGCTGTCTGGTATATGTGATTTGGAAAGGAAATCTCTTTTCCAGAAGTGACTTAAGAGGCTAAACCTTATGGAAAGAAAAATCTTGTGGAAATCTGGAATGTTTTGGACTATGACAGCTGTGTCTGCATCAGCAATAGCACCGTGCAATGAGAGTGGCCTGTAAAGCTGAGGACCCACAGTAGGTACTATACATTTGTCAGGGGTTATTTTCACCCCAGACAAGCTCTTCTCTGGTTCTGTAGACCAAACGTCCTTTAGTGATTGGAGAGCATCAGGTGCATTCCTGGATTTGATTTAGTTTCATCTGAAAGGAGTCCAGTTCATGCGCTCCCAAGACTGAGCTCTCCAAGACTGCTCCAGGATGTAATCCAACGTGTGGCCAGGTGGCGATTTCAAAAGGGCACCCCGATCCAATGTCTGCTAAAGTAGACATAACCCAACAGAGCTTTTGTGTAAAAGGACTTTACTGTCTAAATGCCCAAAGCCACGAGTGCTGGTCAGTCCCTTTCTTAAGACCTAATAATAGTAACCCAAACGAGCTGCCCAAGATCATGTGGGGAGGGTTTAAGGATCCTGAGGGCACTAATGGGCCTTACTTGTCCTGAGTAGCCTCACTTGGGCCCTTCACCCACCCGCTCTCTATCTCTTGGTCTGGGAGTTCCATTTAAGCTCAGGCCTGGGCCACCGGGTCTTGCCTGAGTGATGTCTGTGTTCAGCCCTGGTTCCTGACTTGCTGACTGGTCTTCCTGGATGGACTTCAGGCTGATGTTGTGGGCAGCCTTATCTCTGGCCCTGTCTCCTGGTGGACCTGGGACCAATGTTATAGGTAGCCTTGACTCCAGTCATGCCTCCTGCTTGTCTGGGGCTGTTGGTGGGTTCTGTCACTAACACCACCCTGGTGGTGCTGGTGCTTGGGTCCTCTGGGACTGCACCCTGGCTGGTGAGGTCACTGCCTCTGCTGGGGTGACCCTCAGCTCTGGGCTTGCTTTTCTTTGTGGAGCAGGCCTGCTCTTGCTGCTCCTAGACGAAGGGAACCCAGAACACCCAATTCCAGGCGCTCCAGCTGCTCAGACAGATCCTCTCCTTCCTTCCGGATCAAAGCCGGCACAATGTAATATGAAGTAATGAGATACTACGTAGACAGGCATTCTGCAGTATTCAAGTTGTTCCTGAGGGTTCTTTAAAACAATAGCATTTGAAAGGTGATGATTGAAGGCGGCTCCAGGGGGTAAACTTCAAGCTTTTATCCAACTGTCTGCTGTTTCTGGACAAGCCCATCCTTCCATTGTGTTGGATCTGGGATTCTGTCTCTGGGTGTGTAATGCTCTCATTTTCCAGCTTCCTTAAAGCACACCCAAGTGCTCTGCAGGAAAGTAAGATGTACTTTAACAGTTGGAAATCCTCAGCAGTTCTATCCTGCATAGGAAATGGGTGAATCCTGGCCAGACTTTTGAGCTGCTGGAGATGACATACAAATAACTCCTGACCTTGGAATCCTGAGAATCGTTCAGGGAAGGTGCAGATTGCAAGAGAATAGAAGCCTAAATGCAAAAATATACACCCACTGCTAGGGTGGATATTTTGTATTTCCTGGACAGAAGACTCTAGAATAGGACAAAATGAGACTGCAGTGTTAAAGAAACCCAACATTCAGAAGAAGAAGAGGATATATGCATGTATAAAGTGGAAAAGGGAAGCCACTAGATTTCAACATTTAGGATTTGTTGAAGGCCAGAGCTGTTCTGTTCAATCCACTAGTCACCATGAGCTAGCAAAACTCCATCTCTGCCTACAGCTCCCACAGGGCTTGTATGAGCCTCTCTGCTGCCCAGATGCATTCTCACAAAGAAAGGATGGAGATCCTGAGACTTTTTTTCCCTTGCTATTCCTGTCCTGTTGGGAGCAGGGGCCAGCTATCATGGTATGCCCCCATCGTAGTTTCTCATCTTCCCTTGGAAGCATCCCAAGCTGATTGTGCAGCAGTTCTAGATTGGGCTCCCAGTTATGGGCTCCCGGTTTCTTTTGCCACAGCTGTTCATCTGAGCAAACTTTGCCTCAAATACCTCACCTAATGTCGATGCCTATTCCAGAGTGAGGTGTGGAGGCCTACCAGTGGCATGCTCTGGCTGGGGAAAGCCGGACTGGCCCACAGGATGCGCGGCCGTTACACGGGGTCCGTCAGGGGCGTGTGGCGCTCCTGGGCTGCAGGCGGGCAGGGATGGCGAAAAGGAGAAATGCCAAAAAAATTGCGCAGTGACAGGGAAATGAAGGGAAAATGACTGGAATGACTGAGAAAATGGTAATGATGAAGGAAAGGGGAGCTGACAGGAAATACAATTGCAGGGAGCTGAAGGGGAAAGACAAAGATAAGGGTTAAATGACGGGGAAGGGATGTAGAAGGTGGAAATGATGGCCAGTAAAGCGGGAAATATCGGAGAAATGAGAGGAAATGATTGGAAAAGAAATAAAATGGGGAACAGCAGTGAGGGGAGGCGAGGCAAGGCAGCCCCGAGGCACAGTGGTGTAGAGGGGGGGGGAACTCTCTAGAAAAAAAGGAAGGCAATGGTGAGAAGGGGTTGTGGGGAGACAGATAGCTGAGGGCCGCTACGGGCAAGTTCAGAACTTGATTGCTGCTATGTCCATGCTCTGCCCACAGCGCCCACCTGCGTCACCAGAACTGCTTCCTGCAGGTCACCAGCTGGTACCTGATGTCTTAGGGCTCCTGATGTGCCCTGGGCAAGGTGGGGCTGGAGGAAGGAGAGGTGCTGTAAACGTCTCAGCTTGCCCAGGGAACCCAGGTGTTCTGCTCCCCAGAAACATCCTGCCAGTGATGGAGGGAAACCCAAAATAACTCTTCTGTTCTAAATCCTAGCCACCAGTGCCATTAGTGCAAGGCAGATATAGGAGGCCCCAGGTCTTCTGACACCTCCTAGTTCAGATGCCTCCAACACACAGGGGCCACCAGCTCACAAAGAAGCACTGGGACAAGTTCTGGGAAGAGTAAATCCCTCCAGAGCTGGTAGCCAGTAAAGCCCCTGTCTTGCTCTGCAAATGGGAGTGCTGAAGTTGGGACAGTGCCTGGACCATTGCTGCGTCGTGGCCTATACCCTGCTGCTCTTGCTGGAGGCAGCCTGGTGAGAGGGCCCCTGGGCTGGCCTGGCACTGCTTTGGTGCCCTTCCTATGTCTTGCATATAGGCAGAGAGGAAGGGAACCAACCCATTGGGATTTGGATAGCCATGGTGAACGTTTGCCGCAGGTACTTCCTTCTGTCTTTGCGCTGGGGGCACTGGAAGCGGTACCAGGCAGAGCAGAGAGCCTGTCCCTGTGGGAGAGACACAAGCAACATGAGCAAGGCACTGCTGCTGGGTACATGCCACCCCAAAGGCTGTGTGTGGGATGCTGCTGGGCCGAGTGTCCTAGGGTGGCTGAGGAGAGAAGGTGAAAACCCTTGTTGGGAAGACCTGGCATTGCTGGGCAAGAATGTGGTAGAAATCACTGAGAGTTCCCTTCTGCTCAGTGACCCAGGCCCCACAGCTGTGTGGGGAGGAGCCTACGGGGCTGTGGTGCTGAGTCATGATGTGCTACCTCAGCAGAGAGGCGTGCCATCTTCCAGCCACAGTAATTGTCTTGTCCTGCAAGGAGAGATTTGGAGGCCCCTGAACCTCCCCAGGCTCATCCCCAGGAGTGACCAGCAGTCTCTCGACTGTGCTAGGAGATCCAAAGCACATTTCATTTTCAAAGTTTCTGCTTTGCCTTTTTCCTGGGGCTGGTGTCAGGGTGGGGTCAGCAGGGTTGTGTTCTCCTCAGATGGTGGCAAGACCTTCCTGAGAGCGCTCTTGCTAAGGTCCAGCCTTGGAAAACTGGCGAGCGACTGGGCCATGTGCCTCTAGCCTTGCTGGCCCCAGGATGCTGGTGGTCCGAGAGTAGGTGAAGGGGACGCATTTGCTGGGAGAAGCCGGGGGGGCTTTGGAGCTTCCTTTGGATGACAAGCTCAAGGTATATGCTGCCTTGTCCAAGGTGATGGCTTCTCAGGGCAGGGAGAGTGAAACTGCTTTTCCTTCAGGGGGTGATTCACTGTGCAGTGAGCAATCTGTATTGGGAAGAGGAAGAAAATGGCAGAAGCCTTTCTCCCCTCAAAACTCCCGTGATGGCTCGGGCAATTTCTCCTCAGGGGGGTGCAGGAATTGCCCCTCACTCCCACCACAGGGAGTAGAGAAGACTGCTCTGCAGGCCGGGAGCAGGACAGTGCCTGGTAGGCATCTTCCCTTTGCTTCTGATTTCTCTTTGCAACAAGGTCAGCGCCCCAAGCCCATCGTTGGCCCAACTGAGCTGGCCAGACCTAAGCAGGGGAGCCTGTGTGCACCATGCTTGGAGAAGCCCTGTGAGGGGCTACCAGATTGGGTAGCCATAAGCTACCATGTTGAAGCCAAACATGGCTCCAAAAAGCTCTCTTTGGTGAAGACTTGATCCCCAGGGATTTCCTTCCCCCGGAGTGTTGCAGAGAAGCTCTTACAGGTCTTGAGGCCTCCCCTAATGATGGTAGAGATGCACCCAGAGCCCCTGCTGCCCTGGAGGGGCTGCC